AACATGGTGTGCTTATAAAGAGGTTTTTATATGATGTGCTTATAGAGGGGGTGACTATAAAGAGGGTTGACTGTAGTTGGTAAATATAGTTAAAAAAAATGTGATTTATGTACAAAAGGCTCAAATAATCTTTTTCATGATTCTTCTGGAGTTTCCACCACACCTAAGGCTGTAAAAATGATTGATTATAGGTAATGATTTTTCAGTCCTGTCCATATAAATTGCTATCCCTAAATGCATTCTCATGATCAATGTTTCTATTATTATTAACTAGCAATGCTAGTAATTATTCAATGTCTATTATATTGTATTTCTTCAGTTGATGTTTTATCTACAAATCAAATGTTTACAATTAAGGCGGTAACCAACAATACTTATCTGATACTTACAACTGTAATTGTCATTGACTTTCAATAATTGTACTAGTTAGTTTGTATTTATTCGGAGGTACTTTTATTGTATCCCAATAAATGCAAACATCCCAACTCGAAAAAAACTATTAAATAATAAACATTAGTAATAGTGCAACTATTGGTCATTATACTTACTCCACATTATCGGAATGTTCAATATGACTTTTCAAATACAAAATGTGCTTTCAGATGACCTAATAATATATAAAGTAATTTAGTATGCACAACAACACCTTACTTCTATTTACAGTAAATACTGTCATACCTTGTCTATATCCCAGGACTTAATATCACTCTACTCCATTTATTCGTGCGTTTTCTCAACAATCCTTACACTTCTTGCCTACAGAAACGACCAAACAACTCTCCGTCCCCCTTCAGCTCAAACCAACTAATCTGCTAATAGCACCGTTTTTTGAAGGAAAAAATCGCGCCGACTGATAATACCACGTAATAAGGCGATATATGTATCGTCTACGTTCATCGTCTAATGTAAAAAATTAGAATGTAGTATTAGTTATTACGGTTTCTAAAGTCAAATTTGACGTTACTATTCTGTAAAAATCAGTTATGTCTTTTAAAGTGGAAATCAGGTTGTCTTTTTAATATGGAATATTGCCTGCCGGACGCATTCCAATATAGTTAAAGGAAGCGCGTATGGATCACCGGCATAAGACGAATATATTGGAATGATTATTTTACGCACTATATTTATCAATAGTGACAGTTGCTCTCAACTAAAACGCCTTGCTTGCTAAGTTTATGTTTAGATAACATTTGAGCATACGTTACATGGTCACTCTCGATATAATGCTCCCTGATAAAATGTAGGTTGGCCTGATATGGTGTTTTTTTGCCAGAATCAAGTCAGTTATAATAAAATATTTAATGAAGAACGGAAATCATCACTATCATTTTATCGAGAATTAAAGATATTATTGTTGTATCTATTCTATTCTTTGTAAATTGTTGGATTGCGTACAAATAAGTTTTATTCTACGAGTCAATAAACAGCCAGCAAACTTATGAAAAAAGTATTCTGTATTACAAAATGGGTATTCTCTTTTATTTGAAAACTACCCTATATATGTATCTCTATCGCTCATACAACTTGAAAATTGTTGGTATCGTTCTTCGTAATCGGTGAATCGTTCCTGGCCAATAAAATGAAGACTATCAAGAACAATTGTCAATACGCTTTGAGTTGATAACAACCGCCGCAATTGATTAACTTTATAATATTGCACCATCCCATAGTTTCGATAGAACGGAAAATGAGTACACATAGTATAATCACGTATCTATCCACCACTGGTGACAGAGAGCTGGAACTCAGTGTTGAAACATACTATGCAAGATAATAATAGACAGATATTGTGGTACCTGAAAAAAACAATATTACAAAGTCGATAAGACTCTTCTTGGCAAAAAAAAAAAAAAAACAAACGCAAGTTGGAAATGGAAGAATAGTGAATCGGTTAATTGTAGCAACGCGACTTCGTTGTTATGAATGAACAAATCTTACAAGTTTGTACTCCTTAAATGCATCGTCCCTCGAATTATCTCTAGCGGTTTTGTTACATTTGTGACAATGTAAATTTTGTCTGTCCAAATAGAAAAAATGCAAAATTTACAAAGTTTCAGAATAGAAAGTCAGCTGCGGTCTTTTTCCCTTATCAAGAAGAGCCTTATCGACTTCAAAATATTTGTGTCCAACCATCTACACGGATTCGCATAATTCGAGAACTGTTAAGGGATAGAGCGTCAGACTTAGGTGAATATTTCACTGAGTATCTGTTTACACCATATTCCGTGCCAATGTTGCTGTAACTATATCAATAGGCGTGGCAGGCGTGGCAGGCGTGGCGTGAACCCGGCGATGGCGGAATCGATCTCATAAAAAGTCGTCTCCAAAAGAAAACTTACTCGATGTGCGGTAATAAAGAGCAAAGCCGTCGGACTTTAAAACATTATCCTAACGGATGATATGAGTGTACACGCGGATCTATCACTCGGATAATACTGTATATAGAGTCTTAAGAAATATAGAGCTTCAACTTGCTGCGGTTAATTGTTCATTCCAACAACTTAGAGCAGAACTTCGATAGTCAAGAACAGGGTTTAAAACGCTAATCATTGCTCCTTTTAATGCCTGTACGTAATCTTTTATAAATACAGTCAGATCTCGAAAGTCAGACTCAATAATAACAATGACTTCAATTTTTTCCTCGCTATTTGAAAATAGTTGACAATTCGATTAAAAATCTGTTCACATTCTGATATCCCTGAAATTGGATCAAATAAACTTTGTGTGGTGGCCTGTAATACGAAATTTAAACAACACGTGACTTTATGCAATATTAATATATACTCATTAAATAACGGAACCGAGATATTAATATAGTTGGAATTGGGATTGCTCGTTATTAATGGCATCCGTCACCGTTTTTATGGTTCGTTCACGCTGCAAATTTTGCTCTTCTTCCAATTTACATGTCTTAATATTCCACCGGTTAATTAATATCAGGTGGCAGAGAAACCTTCTCTTGCCGAATCGATCACAAAGATCCTTGCCCCCAATGGACAGGTTGATTAAAATTTCCTATCATTCTAGCCCTCTGATGTCTTTGGTTAATCGCTGCAATTAACTGTGGATCTATACAGTATCAAACCCGCAAATCTTATACATCTGTCCACGAGTACAATGGTCAATTCCGAAATCAGAATGCACGATTCAAGTTTACATCTGTAACAGGTACGAGTTTAATGAATGCTACGCAAAAACAAAAGGGGAATGTATAAACCAAACATGCAATAACAAGAGTTGTCGAATAGGACATGTATACAGGTCAGTCAGCTTTGTAGTTGAATGAGCATTTGGACAATAATCTCATGAAAAAAGCTATTTTAATAGCCTCGATTTCACAAAGAGTCACAACAACTGGGATGCAACTGATCCTTTGGAATTGTTCACTGCACCAACTTTAAAACTGGAAGCAAATTCCAAGGTTAAGACCCTTTTCATTAATATATGGTTTACTAATTTTTACGGCAACTGATGATTTGTATCCGTTGAATCTCTTTTAGCAACACATAACGAAACATCTTCAAAATGAGTCGAGAGGTACGGCCAAAAATTATTGGTTGCCTTTGGCATATATATAGACCTTAATTTATCCACTAATTGATCCTAACTAAAGGAGCTGACTATGTCGTTCTCTGGCTTGACTGTGATCGAGAAGGAGAAAATATATGCTTTGAAGTTGTCGATAACGTTTTCAATAGTATGAAAGAACCACAGAAAACTAAAGAAAGCAGAATATTAAGAGCAAAGTTCTCTGGTGAGATTATTTATATTACGAAGGCCGCTACAACAATAGCGTAACCTATATGTGAACGTGAAATTGACACGAAAAGCCTTTTCTGCACAGCCATCACACACACTGATATCCGTAAAGCAATGGATAATCTTATATACCCGAACAAGAACGAATCGTTAGGTAGGGACCTTTTTTACAAAATATGTCAGCTATTCTACATTTCATAACATGCCTGTTTTTTTGGGAATCATTTCATAGCCGTTGATGCAAGACAGGAACTCGACCTAAAGGTACCCTTTTTTTAATACCATCGTCAAAAATTGACTTTATCATCTATATCATTACTCATACTTTCTTTGTCATATAGATTGGTTGTGCGTTTACAAGATTCCAAACACGATTCTTCCAAGGAAAATATGGCAACCTAGACGCTGCAGTAATATCGTATGGTCCATGCCAAACGCCGACACTTTCGTTTTGCGTTTCACGTCATGACCAAATCCAGTCTTTCTCTCCTGAACCGTTCTGGAGTGTAGCAGTGACTGTTGCGAGAAAAGACAATCAAAATAAGAACAAGGATAAAGAGGAGACAGTGTTACATTGGAAAAGGGAACGAGTGTTTGATAGGCAGATTGCAAGAATCTTTGAGAGTACAGTTAAAGAGGCCAATGAAGCGATGTGAGTATATACTCACTCGTTCATTATCGAGTGGTCAAGAGTCTAATTGGAGACGAAACACGCTTTTTTTATGATTTATCTTATTATACTTATTCCATTCAGCGTTATATCTGTTAAATCGGAACGAAAGACCAAATCAAGACCGCATGCATTGAACACCGTAAGAAACCATTTTACCGATGTTTTATTGGAAATTATTGCTTGCATTTATCGTGAACTTGTTACTTAGGTTGAGCTTCTCAAACACGGATCGTCCGCTCTGGGAATAGGTCCACATGATGTGGTAAATAAAGTAGCCGATCTTTTTTGGCTAATACTGGGTTTTTGTTCTTCTAACTTTTGGTGATTTGTCTTGCCCTAGATGTCTATAGCGGAACGTCTATACATGCAAGGTTACATTTCCTATCCACGAACGGAAACAACGTCGTACCCAAAAAATTTTGATTTAAATGCTGTGCTAAGAATGCAACAGAACCACGGTATTTGGTAACGCACCTTTTATTTACACTTGACAATAATTTTATTATGTATAAGCTTTGACTTATTGTTGGTTATATTGCATCAGGGGATCGTACGCAAGCGAGCTTTTAGAAAATGGAGTTCACAAACCTAGTGGTGGTGTGGATGTTGGTGACCACCCTCCTATGTATGTATCGAACGAAGATAGACGATTGAATACGGGTTTACACTGTGTTTATACCAAATTTTTCTTTTGTCTTTTTTTTTTTATTGCATAATTTTTTTGTCACAGAACGCCCATGCGAAAGGCTGAAGAAGGAGATCTTTCTGGCGATACTTGGCGTGTATACAGCTACGTGACGCGCCATTTTCTTGGGTCGATAAGTCCTGATATGCGATATATCCGTACAACGGCTATCGTTAAAATAAATAACGAGATATTCGAATGTTCAGGTAAATTAAACCCAATCTTGTGCGCGTAATGGCAGCTCCATGGGTATAACCGAAATGTTCTTTTCCCTTGTTTGTTCAGGATCACGGGTTGACCGAGCTGGATTTACTAGCATTTTATATTCTCGGACATTATCGGACACTTTTATACCCGAGTATAAAGAAGGCGAACGATTGGACATTACCGATGTAAAATTGACCGAAGGTCTAACACACCCGCCAGATTATTTGACCGAGAGCGAAGTTATTGGTTTGGTAATACATTGTTAAAATGGTTTATTCAATCACTTTCAGTTTGACAAGTTTTAATTTGACTATTACTGTTTGTAGATGGAGAAGCATGGAATTGGGACAGACGCGTCGATTCCTGTGCATATAAATAACATATGTCAGAGGAACTATGTCAAAGTTGAGGGTAATGCACGACGGCTTGTACCAACAAATTTGGGTGAGTGAAAATAAGGCTGTCTTGTATATCTACGAATACTGACACGTCTGAACAAGTATTAACAATATACACGGTTTTCATAGGAATTGTGCTAATTCATGGGTAAATTATAGCACACTCGCTTTCTTTTTGCTTGTATTGTATTTAGATTCTAATTTGTGATGATTATTACGCGTTTTGTATAGATACCGTAAGTATGAATCAACCTTGTCTGACTATCATTCTATTCACACGTCCAATTCACTAATGGTTACGCATTCCGTCGTCCGCAGAGAAAATCGATCCTGATCTCTCTTTACCAACCATGCGAAGTGACGTCGAAAAACAACTCAATTATATTGCTTTAGGACAAGCGAAATTCAAAGACGTGCTTGATCATTCGTTGAAACTGTTTTCAGCCAAATTCAAGTACTTTACAGATAAGGTATGGATCAATTTTGAGAGCTGATACAGAGAAGATACTCATCAAGCTAATTATTGTAGATTGGTCAAATGGACGAACTATTCGAAGCGACTTTTTCGGTTATTGCTGAAACTGGAAAGATCATGTCTAGGTGTGGCAAATGTAGGAGGTGAGAACAGAGTTTGCTGCCTTGGCGATCCGTTTTTTCAATCGAGGGATTTGTTAAACCTAACCGTATCGCTTCTTTACAAGATATATGAAGTATATTGCATCAAGGTGATTACAAACTTTCTGTATTTCTAGTTTTATTTGATAGCTCATTTGACTTTCGCATTCCTCATAGGCCAGAAAGACTTCATTGTAAGACGTGTGATGAGACTTACTCACTTCCACAAAACGGATCCATTAAGGTATATAAACTTATGTAAGTAATACGGTATCAACACTTTGCATTAATTTTATTCTTGCTTCACACATGTAGCCATACAAAGAACTCAAATGTGTAAGTAATTTACAATACAATACATTGCTTTTCAATCACGTCTTAATTTCTCAATGGGTTAATGTCCTGTATGCCAATATTTTTAAAGCCTTTGGATGATTTCGAGTTGGTTCTTTTCTCAATTGGATCTGATGGAATGGGTTACCCAATGTGTCCTTATTGTTATAACTACCCGCCTTTTGAAAATATTAGCAAGGGTATTGTATTTGCTTTGCATGCTCAAGTAATATGTTTTCCCATTTTCTAAATTATTTACACTATTCCCCCCCCCCCCCCCCCCCCCCCCCCCCCCCCCCCCCCCCCCAACCTCCCCCCCCCCCACCCCCCCCCCCCCCCCCCCCACCCACCCACCACGCCTCCCCCCCCCCCCCC